ATATCAAAATTTTATTCAAACCCGCTTCGTAACGCATAAGTTTTTGGCGCCGTTGCTGGGGAACGGTTCTAAATAGTTAATTTTATTTGCTAATTGTTATCATTTTTTATTTTATTTGTTGATTAATTTTTTTATTTAGTTTAATTTTTTATTTTTATTTTTATTTATTATGTATTTTCCAAATCTCGATGCTTTTGATGCTTTTCTTGAGGAAGTAGTACAGGAAATTGAGCAAGGAGATGAGGAGTATGACTCAGATGAAGATTTGAAGAAATTTGGAAGATGGTTAGATAACATCTTGCCCAACACACAAGAACAATCTGAGTCACAAGAGCTAGAGTTAAAAGATGAAGAATTTAATCCAGAAAGAGATTTGGAGGAACCAGAAAGATTGCTAGCAGAGGGGTCAGATGAAGAACAAGCTGAATTGCAGGAACCAAGTTGTGGTTTGACCATTACCACGACGTGGCCCCCTGTTCTTCCGGTTTGTGTTTCGAAGTGTGGGGTGACGACTCCAACTTTGGAGAAAGTTCTGAGGCACGATCCATTTTTTATTAGTATCCAACCGGTTCCAACCCTTGTCAAGATTCTTGGGTTTTATGAATTCAAGCTCGTTTGGCAAATTTTAGAAGAAAAGAGCCAAATCTTACAAATTGGTCCAAAGAAAATATTTAATGCAACGAATGGATTAGCATTGAGTTTATTGGAAGTTTATTAGATTGGGAGTCTAGCTAAAGACTCGCACAAAAAGAAGCGCTTGCGGGAGGCAACCCGTCATTAGAGTTTGCTTTTCTTTTTCTTTCTAAACTTCTAGTATTTAGGGATAATTTAGGATTTTTATTTTGATTTAATTTCATTATTACATGGTATTTGTTTTTGATCTTTTCAGTTTGAGTGTAAGGATGCATGTGAGGGTCTAGAGTCAAGGCTGATGAAGCGAGAAATCGAGTCTAGGCGAGAGAGGAAACGAAGTTTTGAGTCAAGCTATGAGTCCAATTGATAGAAGGGTTATATAGTGTTTATTACCTAAAGAAAAATGAGGGAAATTATTAGTTTATATAACCCCCATACATCAAAAACGGACTTGGGCAGAATATAATTTTTGTCACACAGCGGTCTACTCGCCGAGTGCATCTTATGGACTCGCCGAGTCCATGTGAAAATTCACGATTCTTCTGCCATTTACGCTTCAACTCGGCGAGTCTACATACTTACTCGACGAGTCGCTTATTCTTCTTACTTTTGAGCTGAAGATTTGATGACATTTGATATGGGCATTGGTTCTATTCTTTGAAGATCATTTTCCTAGCATTTCCAAGAGTTTGTCCCTTATAATTGGAGCTGTACCACACGAGATTTTAACACCCAAGGCATGGATGAGCTGTTCCCATGCCAAAGTCAGCTGAAGATGGAGCTTTAAATAAAGAAGATCAACCTCGCAACTACTATCCCAGGGGAGTTTGTTCCAATTCCCTCTTTATTTTATTGTTCTTTATCGTGCATAATATGTAATGGGGACATTGCATAAATTAGGTGTGGGGTAAGGGGTTGGTTATTTTAGTTAAAATTTTAGTTAACTTTTTGATAAATTTTGAAATTTTTGCATTAAAATTGCTAGGGATAATTTAGAAAATTTTGGTACAACAATTAGGGATCATGCTAGTATTATATTTGATGATTGCATGAAAACCCAAATGTTTAGTTGAGCCTATATACGTTCTAGTGCATTTGTGGCTTCCCTATTCTAGTGAAATTATGGGACAAAAACACGACCTCGCTTAGTTTGAAGGATGCAATATGTTTAGCATCATGTACCAGAAATGTATCCAGGAAAATTATTATCGCTAACCAATAAAGGTTGAAGTTGAGCGCCCCTGCTTAAGCATGTAGGGTTTTGAGTGAAAAAAAAAGTGAGTTACATGTTAAAAAGAGAGAGAGAGAATTACAAGAAAAGTTTGAAGAATTTTTGGAGCATCAAAGTTAAGTATGAAATTAGAAGATCAAAAATTCCGAAGAAATTTAAAAAGTTGAAGATACCGAAAATCAAACAACAAGGTGGTGAATTCAAAGAAATTAAAGATCAAATGTCAAAGAAGTGAAGAATTCCAAAGAGCTCCATAGTGGTATCATAAATTGTAATTGTCTAGATTATGTATGCTTAGGTTGCTCAACCAAAAATACCTTGAGGTTAAGAGGTTTTCTGAGGATGGATTCGGAAGGATGCATAAAATGAGCATTGTTCGGAAAAAGTGGGCGAATGTTTATGAGGATTGTGAGTATTTGGAGTATGGGGGTTATTAGGAAAATTTTAGACACAAATGCATGCGTTGCGGTCTTGGCATAATGGTTGGGTTCAATTGGAGTTGTCTTATGTGATTCTAATGTGTTAAAATTCAGTTTTGCTTGGGGGCAAGCAAAAGTCAAGTGTGGGGTATTTTGATATGGGCATATTTAATTATAAAATTCATGCATTATCTTAATACTGTATGTTGTTTTTATCTCATTTAATGAAAAAAAGGTGCTTAATTAGTTTAGAATTTCATTTTGCAGCAATAATGACATGCTCGGATGGAAAAGGAAGCGGAACTAGCGATTGGAAGCTTGGATCTTGGATTTTGAAGAAAGAAGGATGTTGCTGGACAGCTTGACCCCTCGTCAGTATTTTGGCCATATCTCATGAACCGTAACTCTGATTGATGAGATTCAAAATGTTCTGAAAAGTAGACACAATTTCGGACGACTTTCGTGTTTTGACAAAATGCTAATTCGAAACGTACTCGGCGAGTAGGGTCGATTACTCAGCGAGTTGTATCGAACATTCGCGATTCTGGACGCGCTGACTTGCCGTACACGGGTTTTAAGTGACGGACTCGCCGAGTAGGACACTGGACTCCCTGAGTAGCCTATGTTTTGTGAAAATCTATATAAAGGGACTTTCAGATCGATATCATAGCATGAAGAGAAACCCTAGGAGGCTGAGAAACGATTGGAAGTGCTGCTAGGTCGTGAGGAACTGAAGAATCAACCCTACATTCAATTGTGAAGAGAATCAAGACAATTTTGGTTTATTCTTAGTAACTTTTTGATTTGAATCATGTTTACATACTTTGATTTCGTTTTTTAGTTTATGTTTACTGCAATCATGAGCTAAAAACTTATTCTTCTGTTAGGGTAGACAATTTTGTGAACATGGATTGATTATTTGATTAGGATTAATTTTAATTAGTGATTATGTTTTATTAAGCTTGTTAAAGAGCCTTATGTGTTAACAATAACTATTCTTCTGTTAATAAATTAGTAATTAAGTTGTATGAACATCTCTTAGTTATTAATTTCATATGATTTATTGTGACCACATAGTTGTATGTCTAGGAATAACGAATGTGAAACTAGAATTAACTAGAAGATAGGTAAGTTAATGTGTGAGATTGTTTGATGAACATCAGCAAGAGGTTAATTGAAGGGCCAATTTAATTAACCATTACAAGTCTTATTTAACCCGAATCAATAACTAGGAAATTCGTTAATTTAGACAACTGGCCACTCTTGAGTTAATTTGTTTCCTAAGGATTAGTAATAGCAAACGTGAAACTAATCATCTTAGTCGGTAGCCAATGAAGAATTAATCGATACATTGAAATCATCCATGGGAACAAATGAGTCGAACCTAAACAGAAGTCCTCTTTATTATTGAATTTAGTTGATTTTTATTTGCTTAGCTCTTAGTTTCTTAGTTTAAGTTTTAGTTAATTTAAGTTTCTAGTCTTACAAAACTAGAGAAAACCCCCTTTCTATTACTTGTTTTATTCAGATAATATTAGCATCTAGTTTAATTGTTTACCGTTCCCTGTGTTCGATACCCTACTTACTTGAACTAAACTGCTAATCGATAGGTACACTGCCTTTCGTGTGTTTGTCTTTGTGTTTAAGTTAGTAGGATTAAAACTAGTTTGTTTCACACACATCATTTATTATCATAATCAAATTTGTACCCATTATATATATATATATATATATATATATATATATATATATATATATATATATATATATATATTATATAAATTTTTGTAAGAATAACATAGTGTGTTTCTACTATTTTTTCCTAACTTTGGGTTTTTAGCAAAACTTTGTATGTAAAAGTTTGCAAGTCTGGAGGTAAAGTTGGTTCATGAGTTTAGCATTTTTGTACAAAAGGTAATAACAAATGTATTTAACCTTTTTGTATTTTAACACAAGTTCTATTGTGTTTTACTTGTACCC